TTGCTGTGTGAATTTGGCTTTGTAGTGAGGATGCTCGAAGATGCAAAGGGGACAAATTGTCAAGCTAGTAATTTCTGCAAGACCATCAGCCGGATGTCACAAGGTGCGGCAGTTATATTACCAAAGTGTTTCATTGGACTGACAGTGCCCTTTAGCTACGGCGCTGGGTGTCGTCGACACCGATGCGGAAAGACCCGATACGGATTACGCATCGATGATTCAGCTGTTCAATCGTTTTGCTCTGGAAGAGATCAGCGCCGAGGGCAATGCTTTTCCTCAAAACCCAATTGTCAGACCAACGAACGAATTAGTTCCCATGGGTCAAGTCGCTGCACCTATCACCCAACTCCTCGGTATCGACTCGACCACAGTCATCGTGTGTCAAAACTGCGGTGCAAAGCGGACTAAGGAGGGAATGACGCACGTCGTTGATTTGCTGTACCCGCGCAAAGTACGATATTCGCCCTTGTCCGTCTCGTTCTTCTTACAATATGTTTACTTTGTTAAATTGGGGGGCTACCAGACGCTTACGAACGAACCGCCCGTGCCGACGGATCTCGACTTTGCTACCCTCATGGCGATATCCCTCCTCCGCGATACGACATACAAGGCGACGTGTCCGACCTGCAAACAGCTCACGCAGCTACGTTCTCGGCGCACTACCCCTGTTAGCCAGCTCCCACCGCTGCTGGCTGTAAACGCATCTGTCAACAACGATGAGCAGCTGAAGTACTGGATAGACGGGAAGCAAGGTACATTTTTATCGCCCCAGGTGGACATTCGAAGCTACGGGGAGGCTGAGAGTGAGGATCTCGATGTGGCGACGTACGAGCTGCGGGTAAGCTATAGAATCCACTTTTATATCCTGGTTCCTCGATATAAGATTGTTATACAGGCGTTTATCGTGCAAGTGCGCGCGAGTAAAGCCAACCATTTGGTCGCAATTGTAAAAGGTCCGTCTCGCCGGGCTTTCGAGCCGTTGTCTACTTACGTGCTTACATGCTTACAATGTTGATGTTCAGTTCCGGAGGCGCCGCCGGATCAGAGCCCTTGGTATATTTTCAACGATTTTGTGGTCGAGAACATTTCGGAGCAAGAAGCGCTTAGTTTCCCAGATAAATGGAAGGTTCGTTGTGGGATCTCAATATAACTGTCAAGACCTTACGATACTTGCATGATCTGTAGGTCCCTTGCGTGTTGTACTTTGAGCGAGTGGATATGCGCGACCACCTTGACTTCAGTGGACTTCCTGATGAATTAGATCGAGCTATTCTTGGTCAGCGGATAAGCCTTGCGACGTGAGTCGTCCAAAGGCTCCTCAATGTTTTTATTTTAACACCTCGCATTGGTAGGAACGTGAATTGGGCAGCTCACAAACATGAGCCATTGCGATATGAGGAACTCCCGACCCCTGGTACCCTCGTCTCCATCGACGCTGAGTTTGTAGCACTTCAAAAGGTGCGACAGTTGTCGACTCCGGGATTCATTTTTTTCATCTTAGATCCTAATTTACAGGAAGAGTCGGAAGTGAGATCGGACGGAACTAAGAAACTTCTCCGACCGTCGCAACTCACTTTGGCGCGTGTATCGGTCCTGCGAGGAGATGGACCGCAGGCTGGCAAGCCATTCATTGACGACTACATCCATACGAGCGAGACGGTTGTCGACTATCTCACTGAATACTCTGGGATCAGATGTAGGTTTTCGCCCTCTCGTTTATAGATTTGAGCTGAACTCACATATCTTTTGCTAGTTGGGGACCTTGACCCTCATTTCTCTACTCATACTCTGCTGCCTTTAAAAGTCGTCTACAAGAAGCTCCGCCTTTTGGTCGATCTGGGATGCATATTTATTGGACATGGTCTCTCGAAGGATTTCCGAATTATCAGTATGTACACGCACTTTCGCAACTAAATTGGCATGGTATTGACACAACTATTTTTTCAAGACCTATTTGTTCCCCCAGAACAAGTTATCGACACGGTGGACCTTTACTACATCAAGAGTCGCCAAAGACGAATAAGCCTCCGTTTTCTATCTTGGTACATCCTTAAGGAGAATATTCAAAAGGATACACACGACTCGATCGAAGATGCAAGAGCAGCGCTATTGCTCTATCAGGAATACCAGCGTTTCGAGGAAGAAGGTAAATTTGATCAGGTATTGGAGGACATGTACAAGGAAGGCCGACTGGTGGTAAGCTTGAATTACTCTGTGCGCCTACATCGCGCCGTCAAACTTATTGTGCTTGGTATCTAGAACTGGAAACCACCCACGCCGCCGCCACCTCCTCAACCAAGTGCTCCAACCACTCCCCAACGGACGCCTGTACGCGCCGGCCCAATATCTCCGTATTCGCCAATGAATTTGGGCCTTCAGCAGGGAGGGATGATGCCCGCAATGCCACCAAGTCCTTTCGGTATGCTTGATCCTCAAACTCAAGCGATGTTATTCCAGCAAGGATTTGGTTTGCAGTGGCGGAATGTGCCACGGGGTGGTCCGTTTTGATGCTCTTTCTCATAATGTATATACCTCTTTGTACAGGCTCCGTGGAACTAAAAATACCCTCACTATAACATCATCAATGCGCCACTACCTTTTGCCTTTTTACCCTCATCAACGTCTGAAGATGACCATGTCGAACGCTTTAACCAGCCTGAGCACCTATGCATCATCGGACCCCGCGTCGCTTCCACCTACCGTGCTTCTTCGGTCTTCAGACGATAGCATCGTGATATGGGATAAATTCCCCAAGGCGATGTTTCACTTTCTTTTGCTTCCTCGCATCAAGGGGCCCCTCACACGCGAGAACACTACCAACCTGAGCTCCTTCATAAAATGGGACAAATCAAAAGCGCTCAACTGCTTGTTATCAATGAAGGGCGATGCGGAGGCCGTGAAGGTTATGATTCAAGATGAGATGGTAAGCGGAACGGATTTTGTTAGCACTACCGTATTCACTTTCTTTGTAGACAAAGAAACACGGGTTTACATGGGATATATGGATGGGATTTCATTCTGTGCCTTCTATGGAGTATGTCTTATCTGGCGGTCCTATTTAGTTTATCTATGGTTGATAGTAACCATTTGATGACAGGCACGTCCACTTGCATATCATATCCTCGGATCTTTGTTCGCCTGCATTGAAGAACAAGAAGCATTACAACTCTTTCCATCCCAAGCTAGGGTTTTTCCTCCACTTCGACGAAGTTATGTCATGGTTCGAGGACTCAGGAAATGGTGGTCTTGTAAGCGCCGATCGCAGATGCCCCGACGTTCCTCGGGGATATTTGGAAGCTGACACCCCAGGACGTCCCCAACCTAGACTCTGAACATGCCTTCTTTGCGCGAGGAACAGTACGAGCCGCTGTTGAAGACAGACCTCACTTGCTGGAAATGCGGGGAGGAAGTGCGGAATATCCCTTTGCTCAAGTCTCATTTGGAAGATGAATGGAAGAAAGAGCGTAAAGAGTCGGAGCGGAGAGGCAAGAGATAATGTGTATGGGCGATAGCGAGAGCCAAGACATCCCCTTGTGTAGACCATGCAGTACGCTAACTGACGATGGGGTTCATCCCGGAACTCGAATAAATCATGCAGACCAGATAAATATTTCTACGCACTGATATTGGGAGTCTACCTGCGTGATTTCGACTTTTTCTTCATGGTTTTGATATCCCTCTCGAACCTTCCCTTCTTCTTGGCCCGCCCGTTATCCGAAGGTCCATCGTCTACTTCCGCAGTCGATCTCTGGCGACTCCTTTCCAAGACACCCTGCTTCTTCGATTTATTTCTGAGTTCTTCGTACCCATCTCCTCCGAAGGAGTGCTTATTCTTTGCAACACTTCGGAAGATGTCGCCAAACTCTTCCGCTAAGCCACCTCTCTTTCCACGTCCCTCTATCATACCGGTTCCTCCCAGTGCAATGTCGGCTTCGTCTCGCTTCCGGCGCAAGGTTTCTTTTTTGTTAAGAACCAGCCGAGTCATATTTTCTTCTTCGAACCTTGTCATTCGGTCGAGTTCGCGCGCGCGCGCAGTGGATAGCGAAGGCATGGAGCCAAGTCCGGACGTAGACTCAACATGCGGGTTCGAGGGATCGTTGTACGCAAGCGAGGCGAGGGCAGAGGGCACCGGCGCACGTCGCTTGGATTTGTCTTTCCGAGATGTTTCGTTGTAAGGCATTGGCGCAAGTTTCGGTGGGCGATAAACGCCACTCCGATCTGGCTCCTCGTCTTCGTCATTGTCGGATGCAGCCGCATCTTGTGTTTCCTCGATGAGGTTTTGGGGATTCGGACGGAATGCAAGTGGGTCTACGGACGAGATACTCAGCCAAAAAAAAATGGGTAGTACTTCTATATGGTAGGCCTACCATCGGTCACGTTTTGTGCATCTGTTGAATTATCCTCCGCCATGCGTACGAGTTTGTCGATCTGGTACTTCATTTTGGTCTCAAGAATTTTCACCTTCTCAAGGATGATACGACTCTCTACCAGAGAGTCGACCAGATCGCCTGCTTCGATGCCACGCTTTTCTCGCTCCGCAGTCCCAAAGGACGCCGACGGAGCCGTGCGCTCAAGAAGGGAGTGTCCAAGCATACGATGAGACGAGAGAAGGACAAGAGACTGCAGATATGACAATAACGTGTGGTCCTTGAGCGAGAGAAGGGATATTCCAGATTTCAGGTCAAGTTCGGACGTGTTTCGTTGTCTGCCAGAGTACATAGTTAAAACGTAAATCGCGGCTTCAGTGCTTGAAGAGTACCTCACTTCTTCGCCAGTGTCTGCACAGTTTCGCGGACGCTTGCCATAGACGCTGCCATTTCGTTGGCGACATCGCTGAACGCCTGGACAGACACGCTTGATATTGTATCCATTCCCGAGCAATTAGTATAAGTCTAAAGCTTTGTGAGATCCAGGACTGGAGCACAAATTTTCCGGAAGCAAATATCAGCGACGCCGCCATCGCCGCCAATATGAAGCAACATCCCTGCAGTTATATCGCAGGCCGCATAGCGAAATGGTTATCGCGTTGGTCTTCGACTTAGCTAGTTGAACCAAAGGTTGCAGGTTCGAGTCCTGCTGTGGTCGTTATCATTTTACCGTTTTACCCATCTTGCCTCTCATCTGCGGAACTGTTCCGTGTGTCCCCGTGATTGTGTTTCTTTTGAGTCTTAACAACTGTGCAATCTCCGCTCGTTCACACCACCACATGCGCTCGCTTCCTTAGGGGTACCCTTTATTGATTTTGATCACGCCCATACCGGGTCGCTCATCACGCTACGCTATTCAGGTGGATCTTGATCCTGGTGGCCTATGTCACTGTCTGCGATCGTTCAAATCGACTGCGACGGGGACGGGAACGGCACGAAGCATCCAGCACACCATTAATCCCCAAATGCTTGCCAACGGATCTCACCATATTTACCTGGCATGCGCGGAGCTAACCTCGCCGAACCCCTATGTGCCGCTTGTCGCTCTAGATGAAATCACGCAGCGAATTTGGCAAATGATGCAGTATCTTGTCAGAAGATACGCCCATCTGGTCCTTATCCCAATCCTCGATCATTGCGCAGCCTATGGGTCTCCTGTTTATACCTGGCTCGGTCTTTAGCGCAGTGAAAGCGACCATTCGAATGTGCTTTTGACTGCTTTTGCGGGCCCGACTGTCCAGATGATTAGTTTATGCCTTTACTGGAACTAATCAATCTAGATTCCTTTAGTTGCTAGTGGCACGAAGCAACAGTATGCGTCTAGGAAATGCTAGAAAATGCCAGCCTCCCGGTTGGGGTGTCTCCGCAATCCCACTAGGCCACCCTATGATATTACGATTGAAATTTCTTTAAAATCGCCCTCTGCTGACGGCAATCCAAAACCCCCTTGCCTCGAAATCATCGCCATTACAATGGATGTGAATCTCCGCTCCCTTTCTGTCTTTAGCTATGCTGCTTATGGATATGCAAAACCCCCTATTTTCTAGGCCAAGCCCTCCGACGTTGTATGTCTATTCTACCCCGTCGACGGAACTTGCCAGTAAGTTGCCGCTGTTTTACCCAGCCGCCATCGCCATCTTAGTCCTAACACACTACATAACCGCAGTTATCCGTGCTGCGCCTGTGATGAAGTGGAGCAAAGCACCCCGAGGTTAGTACTAGGCGCTCGGTGGGCACATATTACTTGGCGTACTTGATCAAACCTTGCTTTAGCACCAACAGCCCTCAGGCAGGCGCCAACGCTGAGTCGACGGCGACGAATGCCGATACATAAATAGCCAGCACCTCAGACCCACACGTCCGGAGATAGCCTCCCTACCCCCGATGGCCCCGTGTCTGTGGTCATATTGACGCTGTCGAAAGCCTCGACACTCCTCTCCCCGTGCTGTGAATTGCAATCACCATCTCTCACCTATAATCACCTATAATACTTGCAGTACTTGGGACCTGATACAATGCGAATAGCATATGGGCCTTCCCACCAAAAGCCCCCGAGATAGATGAAACAAGGAATGCGATCAGGTACTTGTTGCCCTGCCGCGGAATCTCGGCGCAAGCTATCGATATTGATATCTGCGCCGGAGAACTTTGGTGTCTGCCGCCTCGAAATCTCTTTTCTCCTGTGACAAGGAGCTTGCCGTTTCAACACTCTCATCGCCAGTTCCCCAGGCAGGTAGGCCAATAATTGCATTTTTTCCGGACACCGTGGGCGCGCGCGACCTCCTTTCCAGGCGGACTCCAGTCCCCAAGCCGATCGAAAGGCTTGCAATACGCCCATATGTATACCAAGTAGTGAAATCGTAACGCCTGATACATGCAAAAAGATGGAAAAGAAACCAAATGGCGTCAAGGTATTAGAGTATTCTAAGCAAGGCTACAAAAACTGCCGTCCATAAAAAATATGAAAGTGAGGCCGATACTTTGTCAATACATTGCATCGTATAGATCATCTCCGAAATCATGAAACACCTCAAAGGAAAAGCACAGCAATCCCGCCCAGAACGCCAGCAGCAGCGACGCTCAGCGCCGCGCGGGAATTCTTCAACATCATCTTCCCACTAGCACCCGCGCCGTTGGAAGAAGAGGTGGAGTTGCCGGTGCTGCTGGAGCCATTGAGCTGCTTGGCGAGCGCCTGGAACGCAGAGAAGTTGTTCGGCCCGCTCTCGACGGAGTTGACGGCGAAGACCATGCCCTGCCCGCAGTGGCCCGCCTGGCGGCAGTACACCCAGATGGGCGCAGTGTCGTTCACGGTGATGTTGAAACTGGGGAGGGGGGAGGTCGTGTCGGTCGAGGGCATGCTAGATAGTGGATAGTGTAGGGCGGGGTCAGTTTGGCATTCGAGGAGGGGACGGCACTTTGGGGCTTACAATCCAGAGTCAAATCCGATCTGGCCGGTGGTGGAGGTCTGCTCAAGCTTGCGACAAGGATTAGCAAAGGTGGATTGCGTGGCGCTGAGGAGAGATGAGTGAGTGGCCTCGTCCAAAGATAAAAGGAGATTTTGAGATACTTACGTATGGTTCTTAGACTTGAATTCTATCGGCGTTGAAACAAATTAATCAGAGATTCGCAGCCTGGATAATAGAGGCTAGATAACTTACGGAAAGAGATGATGTCGCGCGGCTGGGCGACGACACGATCGGGCGTATAAACAAGCTGCCCTGTGCCGCCGACAATCACAGTATGAACCACGGGCTGAGGAGCAGGGGTGGGGTTACCCGAGCCTGCGAGGCTTCTTAGTATTGCTTGACAAGATATGTGAAGAAGTGTACATACCGGGGTAGGAGCCATAGGTAGTGGTCCAAGTGTTCGCGCCCAAGGTGATAGTCTGGGTGACGGTCACTACCGATGGTGCAGCAGTGGGAGTGGCAGCGGTCGTCGAGGTGCCATTGGCTACGGCCAGCGCCTTGAAAGCATCAAAAGTATTACCCGTGGCCGCAGCATTGACTATAAAGGGCAGGTGGTGTCAGTTGTCTGTAAAAATTTTGGTGAGGGCGAGGGGCATACCGGAGAAGACCATGCCGCTCTGGCAGTGGCCCGTTTGACGGCAATAAATCCAGATGGGGTTAGTGTCTTGAACCACAAATGAGGCCTCGGGGAAGGAGGCGGTCTGATTGTCAGGCACGGGTTGGCTGGATAATAATAGCATGAGTGTCGATCGGAGGCCTATGCGATCATGGTGGACGGGGAAACTTACAAGCCAGAGTCGAAGCCAGTAGCAGTCAAGCCATCGGGGGAGAGCAGTCGCTTGCAGGGAGATGCAAATGAAGATTGGGTGGCGGTATGGTTTTTCTGGCGGAATGAGAAGAGAACGGTGTCCCCCACCGCGGCGGTCTAACAATAATTCGATAGTGTCAGAATAAGACACCACACTGTGATGTATGGAATCCTCACGATGTTTTGAGGATCGAAAAGGAGTACGCCTGGGCCACCAACGACGACCGTGTGGGTCATCTGGGCATAGGCGAGCGGAAGCGCGAGGAGAGCAACCCGGAGAAGGTGAAGCATTATGAAGAGCAGTAGAAGGAAAGTGGTGGTGGTGGTGAGGAGGAGGAGGGGGAGGCAGCGGCGCGCATGATTTTATACGCTGGGAGAGAAAGGCCTCGCAATTGCACGCCCAAAGGCCTTGCGGATCGGACAAAGGTGCGCTGCGTCGCATTGTCCAAAAATAACCTGCACTGTTGACGCGACGTGATTGTTTGGCCGTGTTGATGGAGGCATTTTGTGCGCTTCGGTTGCGGATACTTCCGTGACCATCTTTCCTTCCGTCCTCCACCCTCGCTCTTCTGTCGTGGAATCGATTCTCCCCCCGACCATTTTCATATCAGAGAGATAAAACGGGCTATCGGCCGAGTCCGGTATGCGTCTATCATGAAGCGCACGCACGCACGCTCCGATGGTGAAGATCTCAGATCGGAACAAACAGGCCGGGGCTATGAGGGGGCCGTGCTAGCGATAGGGGAGACTGTGGCGACTTTTATAGCCTCCTTTTCGGAAATTGCTCCTTGGCTGCCGTTCGCATGGATGGACCGCCCTTATTGCACGTGAATTGGGTAAACGGGCTTGTGGGCGTTTGGATCTAATTCCTGTCCTGACCGGCAATGGTTGAGGGCGTAGGTCTTTGAGGTCTGTGGTTCTGCCCCTTAGAACTGTATAGCTCCGACGCGGGCTGGCCAGCCCGCGCTTCGAGTCCTATTCGCTTCACCGCTGGAGTGGATCGAGGATTCTCGGTACTTGGATATCTAGGCGACACACAGGCTCTCGAGATGATAATTATATCCCACCTCCCTCGCGGTGGTGGATAAGCACGGGCTGGACTTGGAATGGCACGATGCTTGTGTTTGGTTTTTTTTCTGGTCAGTTACTCTCCGTGATCTCATGCTATCCCTCGCCACTTACCGTGACTTACGCAACTTACTTGGCAGGTGCTGCAAACGCGAGACTGTTAAGTGGGAGGCGCATAGCTCTTTTTTCTCACCCAATGCTGGTGCGGACGTACCTAAAAGGCATGTATGTACTTGAGCCAAGTGATAAGTACTTGGCTGCAAGCGAGGGAGAGAAGATTAATATTACGTAACGACTTCGGCGAAGATCCCCATGCTGTGCAGATGCTGTGCCCGGCGTCAGGGCAGGGTGGCGGTGCGCTTTATTAAGGGCTGCACGGGGGCCTTGGGACAGGGACCCCGGGATGCGGGTTGCCCGCCGAGAAAGTGCGCATATTTCTGCCCTTCCCAGCCACATCTCGTGCTCGATACCGATACCGATACCGATATCGATGGCGTACAAGCGCGTGTCGACGTTCAGCGCGCTCTCCAAGCCCATCGACATCACAAAGCAAGTGCTCCCAGCCACCGTCCTCGCCGCCGGATTGCTTATACTAATCCCCGGCGTCTGCGTGTAGTGAGGAGCTCATCCAGCATCGACGCGCGCGCGTCATCCCGCTCTCGCTCAGCCCCTTTGTAGATGGCCCCGTGCGGAGGAACCGACTGGGGAGCTATGATGTGGATGAAAAGGCCCTGTTGGAGGCCGAGGTCTATGACCCCAAGAGCGACGAGGAGGTCGGAGAGCGACCGCCTGCCTGGCTCGATCTCGTATGTCCTA